GAAATACTTGTTGAATTATTGGCAAGTGTACCAAATTATCAATCATAGTATAGTATTTCGATTAAATAAAAGTCGATCCCACGAGGAACGGTTTCAATGGAAATTCCTAATTTTATCCTTACTAAGTAGATTAAAATATAATGAGTTCTGCATAAAGAGTTGAATTGAAATTAAATGATAAAGAACTGTAAATTATTGAGAAAATATCAATTAAAGGTACTTAGGATTGACTTCCTTCCTTATCCCTCTTTTGTAATGGCTAAATAAATTAAGAACGTCAATTAACCTAACAATGTTGATGCCACCTACTCAAATCATCCATGTTGATTCCTCACACATGAAATTCATAAGAAAACCTAATAAATGTTGATTCCTCACACAATTAAGAGATTTTACAGCATTAGGGTTAGGGTGTTAAGCAATTGATACATTCATTCCATTCCTAGCAATTAACGTAACAAATATTCTTACCGTGATCTAGGATTCAAGATATATTTTCCAATCATACCCCAAACATCAAGAATAAATCATTCCAAAGCATAAAGGATAAGAATAATAACATCAAATCATAGATTAATATATCAAAATATCACCATGATACAAAAGAGTTCAAAGGAAGTGCACCCAATCCCAAGAGAATGAAGTTAGCCACTCATGTTGGCCATTACAATGCTCCAATTGATGAAGAAGTGAAGAATTAATGAAGATTGGACAAAACCCTAACAGTAGTCGTGCCTTCTCCTCTCCAAGACTGCTTGCTTTTCTCAAAACACACTTATCTTTTTATAAGAGAATTTGGGTCGGACCTCGCATCATTCATTCGCTTAAGCGTTCTTCTTTCTTTCAATTTTACTCCAATTATGCTGACAATTATGCTCCTTACTCTTGTATCAAGTTATTCTCGAATTCATCCTATATTGGGAGAAAAATATATTAGAATTAACATAAGTTAAGTGGTTTCATAACAATTCAAGGTATAATTATATCAACTTTTTACCACTTAACATGGACATGCTAGAAATTTGAGTCATAGGATTCCAAAATTAGGTGCACACCAACTGTTTGATGAAATGTTTAAGTATGAACCATAATTATTTTATTGCAAATGAATCTTTGAAATAAACTACAATGCTTGATCATGACCCAAAGTTTCATTTTATTCATGATAGGATCAGTATATTCAATTAACCGTTAATTATCTTTGTTTATCATGATGGTTGTAGATGGGTCCAAGAAGAGATACACATGGTGCCTCATCTTCTAGGGTTGTTGAAAAAAGGCCTAGAATTGAACTCGAAGAGCCCTTTGTAGATAGAAGCAGGTTCAGGGATGCTGAGAGGTAAGCAAGAGTTGAAGCAATTAGCCAGTGGAGCTTTATTGCTAAAAGGCGAGTGGAGCTCAATGAAGGAGAGCTCCCATAATTTATTGAGGAAATCACTTGCCGAAACTAGAGGCAGCTAGCACTACCGATGCCGAAATTTGACCTAGATGTGGTCAAAGAGTTCTATGTTAATGCATGGTTAGTGATAGGAGAGCCATACCAATCTCGTTCTAAGGTGGGGGGTCGTTAAGTCTCGTATGATCGGGATGCGATCAACAATTTGCTAGGTAACCCCCTGCACTTGAATGAACTTGAAATATGCACCTACCAGGTCATCAGGAATAGTAGGCGCCTATCCGCAGCTACTTTTGGCAATGATGATACTGCTAGAGCCTTATGCATACTGGGCAAAACCTTTGAAGCCAACCATGCTAGGAAGGCATTGAGGATACTTAGGGGCAATATGACGACCCTAACACAAATCTGTACATCATTCCTGCTAGAAAACATTGTGCCAATCAAGCACATCTCGGACTTGAACATGTCGCATTGTCACATTATAAAGAGCATTCTGTAGGACATCCAAATTGACGTTGTTGCGATTATTTCAGAAGAGATTTATGAATTTGTAGTGCTGGAAAGTGGTCGTTGTGCAGAGCAAGATAAGGCTCTAGGGTTCCTTGCCCTCATCACCGCTTTATGTTCAGCTCAAGGTGTGGAGGACAACCCTACAATGAAAATCTGGCTGCTAATCAACAAAAGATTCATAAAGTGCAACTGCGCAAATTCTACGGAAGAAGCAGCGTCGGTACTACAACAACCACCCTGCCAGCCACGTCGAGCCAGACAGGTAGCACCACCACCACCGCATCAAGATGACATCCATCAAAGGATGATGCACTACATTGAGCACCTGACACTGCAATAGGCAGCTACCCATCGGGGTCAATGCAGCCTTAATTCAGATTTTAATAGACTTTCTTTGCAGATTGCTCCAGGGTCGCAATGGACATCTCTAGAAGATTTTGAGGTTTTACTCCAATGGCCTGGGGACAATCCAACTTTTCCGGGAAGGGGTGAGGCTGAAGTGCAAGACAGGGAGGAGACATCAAGTGAAGAGGAATGAGGGAGACAATTTTACTTCATTTTTATGTTTTTTTTAATTTGATATTTTTCAGTTCTTTGTTTTGTTTTAATTTCTTTGTTTTTGATGTTTTGATTTGATGTGTGGAACTTAATTTGTTTTAATGTTTTTAATTTGATATAAGTAAATTCCTTTGTTGTCCCGCACATTTTCGGTTAGAGTCATACATGAAATTATTGTTTGTTGTCTAATTCAAATTTGGAACTTGAAAAAATCATTTTGATTGTTTCCAATAACAAGTGATTTTGAGATTATGAGTATGATAGTGAAAAAGGAATTGATGAGGAGAACTAGGAATTAATTGAATTGGAGAAGCTATCTGAAACCCAAGAGAGGAGTGAACCAAAAACAGATAAATTAAGTGTCAACAGTTTATGATGATAACTGGTATTGGTTGATTCTTTGATGTGATTGCATGTTAGCAAGACCTGACAATGATAAAGGTAATTTTTTGTTTAGTGAAAGTAAATATAACTCAGAGGCAAATAGACAACCCTACATTGATTTTAGGAAATCCTTTTGAACCCCATTTGAGTAAAAAACAAGATTGTTTCTTGAAATAGAATCCCAGAGCCTAAACAATGTTTATCCGTCTTCTTATATTTGAGAAATGAAATAATTATGAATGTTATTGTTTTTCTTATTTTTATTGTTATTATTAAAAAAAAAGAGAAGGTTGAGTAGAGAAAAAGGGAAAAGAAAAGCATAAATATTGTGGCTAAGCTGAAATGATAAATGCACAATGAGGAAAGAAAAAGGAAATTCAAATTGGTGTGAATGATAACTAGTGAGATTGTCAACTCACTATCATTGTGCTGGAACATAGGCATGAAGTTTGAGACTGGACTTGAGGAAATAATAAACAAGAATCATTCATATAATTTCAATTTCTCAAATACTTTTGTATATCATAGGAAAACCAATGAATTCCTTGATAGCCCAGCCCCATTACAAGCCTCAAAATACCTTTTGATTCAAGTCTTGCTTAACAAATGTTGATTACTTGAAGATGATTATCAATATTGGAATATCTAAATGAAGTGATTGAATGAGATAAACACTTACCTCTGAGAATTAGAGATGATTATTTATCACTTTATTTGAGAGATCATGTTTCTCTAAGGATAGTTGATGATTAATTATCCTTTGTTAGTTTTTGTAACTTTAATGCTTATGTATCCCATTTTCACTTGGAGTTGTGAGCAACACATCTTGAAGAAAATTTATTTTTGTGTTAAGGTTCTGGAAGAGAAAGTGACAATAGGTAATGATTTTTATTTTGGAAAAAGTACTTTGCTTAGGGACAAGCAAGATTCTAGGTTGAGAAAAATTGTTAAGTGGCAAAAGTTGATGTAATTATGCTTTGAATTGTTATTTAATCACTTAAATTATGTTGATTTTAATCTATTATTCTCCCAATGTAGGATGAATTTATAGAATACCTAGGTACAAGAGCAAGGATCATAATTTTCAAGTTAATTGAAGAAAAATTGGGAAAAGGGAAAAAGATTTTCAGCCTAAGATTCGCTCGAGCGAGGTAGACGCTCTCTTGAGTGAAAATAATTTAAACCTCTCTGGAAGTCATTCGCTTGAGTGAGACGGACGCTCGCTTGAGTGAAAATACGTTAAAACTTTCGGGAATTCAATCGCTCAAGCGAGTAAGTTGTCGCTTGAGCGAAAATCATCAGTACTCACTTGAGCGAAAGTATTTGCTTAAGCGAATGACGCAAAATTTTTATATAAAAAGATAAGATGTGTTCTGAGAGAGGGAGTTCGAGATTTTGAGAAGAGATGCAACATCTATTCCAGTTTTCGTTCAATCTTCAATTCTTCTTGAATTTTTCTTCATTGGATCATTGTAATGACCATCATGAGTGGCTAACTTCATTCTTTTAGGATTGGGTGCACTTCCATTGAACTCTTTTGTATCTTGGTGATATTTTGAGATATTAATCTATGTTCTTCTTATTCTCTGTGCTCTTTAATGTTTATCTGATGTTTGGGATGTATTGAAAAATACATCTTGAAACCCTAAATCAGGTTTAAGAATTTTTGCTACGTTAATTGTTAGGAATGGTAATGGATGTATCAATTGCTTAACACCCTAAACCTAATGCTGAGAAATCTATTAAATATATGATGAATCAATATTTATTAGGTTTTCTTATGAATTTCATGTGTGAGAAATCAATGTGAATGATTTGAGTAGGTGGTATCAACATTGATAGGTTAATTGATGTTCTTAATTTGACCTAGCCATTATACAAAAGAGGGAAAAAGAATTAAACCAATCCTAAGTTCTTTTATTTGATCTTTTCTAAAAACACTTTACAGTTCTTTATCATTTATTTTCAACCTAAATCTTTATGAAAAACCAGTTTTGTATTAATCCACTTAGTAAGCTTATAATTTGAAATTTCCAGTGAAACTGTTCCTCGTGAGATCGACTTTTATTTAATCGAAATACTACACTACGATTGATAATATTGGTACGCTTGTCAATTATTCAACATGAATCGATCTCTTTCTCAACATTCAGGAAACTATACCAGTATCAACAAGAGGTTTACAAACCATGGAAGAGTAACAATAAAGCGAAATATGACCCCAACCACTTTCAATGGTCTTCTCAATAGCAAGAATAAGAACCATATATGCAACAAATAGTGCAATGTTCACACCAATACACGCAGAAAAATCTCCAACATTTTCACCTCTGGTGCCACGAAATATAGCACCACAAGCCGCCAAATCAAGAGAACCACAGTCAACCTTATCCATATTACATTTTAACCTTATCCTGCGAACATGAGTTTTACTATGAAAATATTTAAGAATTTGAAATTCCGCAACAAAATTATTCATAGCACCTCCTGATATCACTTCTAATAATCATATTAATAGTGGTTGAGATAGGGAGTGGATCCCGATCTTATGATGAATGATTTTTCCAAACCAGTGAGGATCTTGGAGGAGGAATATGTTGGTGCCAAATTATTCTTTCCCGGGCTTTTTAAGGAATGTTTAGTGTACGACCATCCATGAGTAAGGAGACCATTATTGGATTCCATCCATATCATTTCATTAGTTCTATATTTAATAGAATAATATTATTATTATTATTATTATTATTATTATTATTATTATTATTATTATTATTATTATTATTATTATTATTATTATTATTATTATTATTATTATTATTATTATTCAATAATGTGGTTGATTGAATTAGGTTGGGATTGACTCAATTAAAAAAAAAAAAAAACCTATCCCAATCTATTTGAATTAGATTAAATCACATTGATCATCGAATTATCTAGTTTAATTCAATATGTATGTTTTGATATTAATATGTGTTGTATATGGTTAAAATATCAATAATTTTTTATAAGTATTTATAAGTAATTTCAATAATTTTTCGATTTTTTAACATTTTACTTTATAAATTGAATGATTGAAAGATAAAAATTAATAAATGGTTGATATCATCAATTAAATTACAAACAAATCGCAGTTGGTCCACATGTTCATTATAACTTGAGTACATTCTAAATTTTCAAATGGTGGCTTATTCATTGATATATATACACACTTAATTACTATGTATTTAGATGAATAATTGTTATAGAGCAATTCTTTCCTGTAGAGAAATTGAACTATTTTTACTAGAAGATGTTGTTTGCATAGGAAATTTTAAACGAAATTAAAATTCTAGATGTTTATTAGATGCATTTAATTACTTTAAATCAAATTATTTCAAGTTCTACCTAAAATGATGTACTAATTTGACATTTTTCAAACTCTTTTATCCATGAAACCTATGTTTTTCTTTTCCTTCTTAGACTCAATTTCTATCGGAATGTCATTAGGTCAATTAAGGACATGTGTCGTTAACTTGACATTATTTTTTGACTAATATTGTTAAGGGTTTCTTTCATGTTATTTTTCGGTCATCTAGAGTTTTTTTTTTTTTCTTTTTTTGTTTTAGTCTAGTCTAGTGTTATTTCATAGTTATGTTTTGTTAGGAAGTGTCTTGGTGTTTTTACCTTTAAAGTTAAAGATGATTTTACTAAGATTGTTTTTAGTTAATATTAGTTACGTTACACTTAACAATAAGATGATTTCAAGTCTTGCATTAGTTGAAGGTTAGACTTATAACTTTGATGATAACAAATATAATTAATTTTATAATGTGCTTGGAATAAATGCACTAATTACAATTAAGTTATTCATAGTTATTAACGATGTGTTAAGTGACGGTCATCAAACTTAACTAAACTCGTGCATCATATCTATCACCTAATGAACCTAATAGACTAGCTATGGTCATCAAATTCCACTAATGAAGCTTAAGTTGATTAGTGAAGCCTAAGTCAGTTGATCAACATGTTATCTAAAGAACCCATCAAATTAGTTATGATCTTCAAACTAGACTCATGAAGTTTAAATCGACTAAACACTAGTGCAGAATATGGCTTTTACGTCACCCAATTGTCGTCGCATGCACGTATATTCGACGTAAATAAAACGCGGTGGCAATTTTGTAAATATGGGACAAAAAATTTACGTCGCACACCCCAATAGGAGACGTAAAAAGTCATCTTTTACGTCGCACCTGGGAGGCGCGACGTAAAAGATGGCCTTTTACGTCGCGTACAGGGGGACGCGACGTAAAAAGCCTTAGCTTTTACGTCGCGCCCCCTGTACGCGGCGTAAAAGGCCATCTTTACGTCGCGCCTCCCAGTGTGACGTAAAGATGACTTTTACGTCGCTTACTACACTAGCGCGACGTAAAAAGTCTATTTTATTTCCCTCCCGGCCCACTTCCTCGTCTCGCGCAACCAGGGTTTTTGAGAACGACGACGAGAACAACGACAACGGCTACCTCGCACACCATTTGCGAGCGGTTTTACGGTGAAAAACATCTACATTGTCGTGTCATTTGACGAACTTCATCTTTCTCCCCGATTGGATTCGAGTTTGAAATCGGTTTTCGTCTACACTCGAGGTTAGTGTTCATTGTCATTGCTATATGTTTACATTGAATCCGTGATTGTTTTTGGGGATCTCAATCACGTTATAGTATGAATGTCTCCTTTGGATTGTTATTGGAATGCGGTTATTTGTTTATTTGTTTGAGTGCATTCGGTTTACACACTCCATTGTTGTTGGAACGTGCTTTGTTGTTTGTATATTAATTTTTTTTACATATAATTTTTAAATCTTTAGGAGTGACGAAACTTTATAACATAATATGAATCGAAGTTGGATGAATGCACGTCGTATTAGTGAAGAGTACGAAAAGGGAGTTGAGGAATTTCGAAATTTGCTAGTGAAAATGGAAAAGCTATGAAAGGGACATATTATTGTCCATGTGTTCGTTGTTTGAATCAAATTCGTCATAAACTTGAGGATATACGTGATCACTTGTTTGTTTATGGTATTATTAAGAGTTATACAATATGGACATGGCATGGAGATATACGTGAATCTATGCATTTTTCTAGTTCTAAAGACAAAAATCCTATCACGGCTTCTATGAGTTATTTTGGGGTCATACAAGAGATATGGGAAATTGATTATGTTACTTTTAGGGTGCCTGTCTTCAAGTGTAAATGGGTTGAAGGGAATACGGGTGTGCGAACGAGATGACCTAGGATTTACTTTGGTTGATTTGAGTAAAGTTGGGTATAAGGATGAACCTTTTATTTTGGCATATCAAGCGAGACAAATATTTTATGTCAAGGATCCATGTAATGAGAGATGGTCAATTGTCCTAGAAGGAAGAAGCATGCACGGAATTCATGAAGATGAGTCTCTAGATATACATGAAACACCTTCATTTTCAAGTAGACCATTTGATGACATAGTTGACAATGAAGTTGATGACATACATGCAATTCGAAGTGATCATGATGAAGGGATATGGGAAAACATACCAACATAATAGGTGTTTATCTTCACATTTTCTAGTTCTTTTTATTCAAACTTATAAAGTATGTTGACTTCATATTGTTTTGTTTTTCGGGATATGTCGGATTCCACAGTGAGTGCTTGGAAGTGGTAGTGGCGGTGGCGGGAGCGGAAGTGGTGATAAAGGTAGATCTGTCACTCGGTTAAAGGGGTTGACGGCAAGGAGGGTAGCTAGAGAGAAAACTCAAGTTGAAGTTGATCCACGTTACGGTAAGGCATCTGGCCCAAATGCTTGCTAAGTTTAAGAGCTATTTGGGACTACTAGCTCGACACCATGTTACGATTACTACTCCATCTTGGGATGATGTTGAGGAAGCCGAGAAGAACCTCATGTGGCGGGATGTTCGGGTATTTCTATATTTGTTGAATACTTTATATATCATTATTAATTGAATTTAACATTTATTGGTCATTTCATAGCAAAATTTTGATGTTCCTAACAACGAGGTGATGAGGAAGAAGATTTTATCCTCCATTGCCATTAGATGGAGGGACTTTAAGACTTTCTTGACACGGGAGTATGTATTTGGAAAGTTTCGAGATGAATCTCCCTGTCTAAAGTATCAAATTAGTGAGGAGGATTGGTTACGAGTTTTGTGCCGGCCGAATGGACCCCTCTTGGCGGGATAAAAGACAAGGCGCCCAACAACGTCGGAGGTTGAATGATGCACCTCATGTATTGTCACGAGGAGGGTATGCATTATTGGAGCAACGTCTCATGAAATCCGAGAGAAGAGTCGGCGGGAGTTGATTCTACGACCTTGCATCTCCACCCCTCGCTATCGGATGTGGAAGGCGGCCGGACAAAATCGATGGACAAATGACTTACGAGTACGCACGAATCATTGCTCGAGAAAATCGTAAGTTATAATGTCAATTTGAATTGATTTTAATTTGAAAGTTAGTGTATGACTTAATTATTGTTAATGTGTTGTAGGATGATTTAGTTGAGCGAGACCGACCAAGGATCATTTATTCCTCATGGTCGACAAGATATATTGGCGACGGCCATAGGAAAACCAGATTACTCGGGACGTGTGCGTGGTGCTTGGTGGAACACGGGGCCTTCGTGATTACTTTGGTCCAACATCACGAAGGACCACTTGCTGACTCTTGCGGCCAGGAGGCCTTGCATAAAATGGAGATGCAGTTTGAAGAAAAGTTAAATCAAATAAGGCAATCCTTGCGGCAAGAGTTTGATGAGAAAATTGAATCTCTCGCCGCTCTCGGCAACGAGACTCAAGGAACACCTCAAACAATTGAACATGATATTGTTCGAGTCGGCACTAAAGGGAGTTGTGCTTTGCTACTACGTTGATCCTTCAGGAGAATATACTCGAGACGATGCATCACACCGGTGTGAGTTATATGTTGAAGATGACCCCGCGTCTAGTGGGCATGTTGGTCGAGTTTTTGAGGGTGGCTTAACCATCCATGGTGTCCCTCTACGACCGGGCTGGACACGAGTAGTAGTTGATGAAGTTAATGATGCTAATGCTCCAGTGCCTTTTCCTAATGAAGAGATTCAATTAGTGGGGCGAGGCAAGCGGGACATTCTTGGCTTGGCCAAGACGTTTGGTTATGCCACTATCAGCACTGAGACCAAGGTAATATATATATATATATATATATATATATATATACATATTGTCTATTTACTTCTTTTCTAGTATTATAATTATATAAATGTTTAATTAATTGTTATCATTTGTTTAGGAGGACTTGCGTCGTGCTAAGCATAAAAAGCAACCTATTATTGATGAGGATCTGACGAGAATGTGATGATGATCCCATCTCTATGTTGTTAGCAGTATTACCACGGTTGAGGAAGAGGCAGGTGTCGGATACAATGGGATGTTAGAGTGTTTGGAATTGACAATTCCGAGTGTTCCATTGTACATTTCCTTGCCAGATGCTTTA